TGGAGGAAGAAACATCAATCACCTACACTATGCTGGTGACACTACCCTGCTAGCTAAAAATGCAAAGGGTCTGCAAGCTCTAGCAAGAAAAAGTTAAGGAGCACAGGGAAAAAATGGGACTAAAATTAAATATAAAGAAGATCAAACTAACGACAACAGGTACAACAACCAGCCTTAGAGCTGACAGTGAAGATGATGAAGTGGTGGAGAGCTTCTGCCTTTTAGGACTGACTGTCGACCGTAAAGGAATGAGCAGCCAAGAAATACAATACGGACTGCCACCACTTGGTGAAGCAGCAACAAAGGCCTTGAAGAAGATACTCAAATGCTATCATATGACTATGCCTACCAAGATCAGGATCACGCAGGCAATTATCTTCTCTGTGACGCTCTCTGGAAGCAAAAGCTGGACTTGGAAGAAGCAGGATGCAGAGAGTATTGACGCTTTTGAACTTTGGTGTTGGACGAGATGCTTAAGGAGACCACGGGTACCAAGATAAGAAACAGATGGATCATTGAACAAAACAATCAAGAGTTCTCACTTGAGACACAAATGCCAGGCTCAGATTATCATGTTTTGACACGTTATGCAAAGACCTGGCTCTCTGAGAAGTCCATAATGCTGGTACAGGTGGAAAGAAGTGAATGACCAGCAGCGAGGTGGATGGGCTTTTTCCTCCTCAATCTGATTTTCAAAACTTAAACAGGTGCTTGTTTTGTAAAATCAAGTTTAAAAAATATATTTGGGGGGGTATGTTTTGTTGTTGTTGTTATTATTTTCAGATTTTAGGTCCAAAATAAATTTCAGGATTGAGAGAGAATGATTTAAAGAATACTGACTACTGATATTTTGAGCTAAATCACTCCCTGCACCTTTGGAAAATTATTAGTAAAGAACCTTCCACCACAATTTCTTCAGTTGCTAAGCTAAGTTTTCATAGTTGGCAATTGTTTGGTACTATTCACTGAAAGGTAAACAATCATCCAGGAATTTGTAAATCAGGAAAATACATATTTTTATTTTAGCTTAGTGGGACTGAAAAGGATATTTTTACTGTATTTTATATTGTTTTTATTGTATTTTAATTAATATTTATAGTTGTTCTATTGTGAACCACCCAGAGTCACTTTTTTGTGAGGTGGGCGGTATCTAAATTTGAAAAATAAATAAATAAAATATTGCTCATATTTTTATAAACTTTTACAAATAAAATTTTAAAGAGAATTCTGAGAATAACCTTCACCCAGGAACTGCAGATATAAAGCAGTCATCTAACATTTTAAGATTTAGTTTAATAAAATGTCTTTGCTACTGCATTTGTGTATGTGATTTACTTATCATTCAAAATAAGCTATTATATTTGTGATTAGGTACAATTAATTTTTATTATTTCCTAAATTAATACAAGCGTTCTAAACAATGACAATGACAAGCATGAACATATTTTAGTGATTAGATTTTCACCTTTGTTTAAGAAATGTGTGAAAAAGTATAAATAGCAAAATTAGTTTAAATGAATGACATCATGAATGTCTTTTGGAGATTTTTAAATTAATGCTGCCCCTGATTGTACCAGTCCAACCTGCTCAGCAGCTCTCCCTGGTTTGGGAGCTAGTCAGTCTATTCTGTTCTGGATAAATGTGTTTGAAAAGCAAATGTCTGATTAAGTGAAGTAACACGTCTGTTCCGATCAAATGTTAAGAGAAAATGTTGCATAATTGAACTGATGTTAAACCAGTAAAAATGACAGTTTGCCTTTTGTGAAGCCCAGCTAGGGCTGTCATGGGGGCATCCTGAGTGTCAGTAAACTGCACAGAGTCCCACATCGGTGAGTGGATGCAAGCGACAAACGTTAGGTTGGCCTGCAAGGTGGCCTCTAGTTTAGAGACCCTAAACTGCAGAGAATAGCCTGAGCATGTTTAAAGTAAAACCAGGCTTTGGTTGCACTTGGGACAAATGGGCCGAACTGACCGCTACCCTCCTTAATATTAGCAGGGACAGCTGCCTGTGGCTGGCTAACCCTTGCACCCGGAAGCACGCTGGAAGCAGCGCAGCTCATGGAGCAGTGGTGTCACGCACTGAGTAACTAGCACCAACTGCCCGCGCCACTGCATTTTGCACCACTTGGAGCTTCTGAATACTCTTCAAGGGCACCCCCATGTAAAGTACATTGCAGTGCTCCAGTCTGGAGGTCACAAGGGCATGAGTGACAGTGAGCAGGGCCCCTGGTCCAGGAACGGGTGCAAGGTCTGCTTGTTTCAGATACATGATTTAAAAGTTGTAGAAGGAGACCTGTGTTAGTCTGTGGTGGCAGCAAATCCGAAGGACTCGGGTAGCGCTTCCCGGATGTCCGCTTCCCATTCCTTCTGTTGGAAGAGCAGCCTGTTTTCCAATACTCCTTTTCCAGGAT